TCAACATTAAAGTGGAAACTCACAGATAATCATTTAAAGTAAACTGATCTATAGAATTTACAAGTTAATTCATACCACAAGGCAAGGATTGCTTTTACTGGAATTTAAAGCCTTGACATGTAAGCTGGATTTCTTCTTGTGATAGAGACAGCAATTAGCAGCTCTTTACAATAAATATTCAGTAGCCAAATAGAGGAGTAGAACAGATTTCTGGAACTGATTTGGGAAATTTCAGGAAAAAGGAATATAGAATTTGGGTAGTAAAGTCCTAGAGGTGGGAAAATGCTTCTCAATTCTTAAATCCTCATCATATTAGAATATGGCTAAAAATTTCAACTTTGTTTATACATCATGTTCTAACCAGGCCCCAATTTTATAATGAGTTAGTTAAAAAAAAAATCAAACATAGATTTCTCTTTTAGAAGCTTATTTTTTTCCTGATTAGTAAATACAAACGTGCAAATAGAGAATGGGACAACTAAGAACAAAAGGGACTACTTCTTTAAGTAACTATGATTGAATATTAGAAAATGTGGTGTTTGCTTATGTTTTTGGAAAAGTGAGAAAGAATAGGTTAGCTTAATCTTGAAAATCAGTTATCTTTAAATATTTATTATTTTGAAGTTACTCTGGTTTTTCTAATCACCTCTTTTTTTTAGCTTTTCAGCAAGAAAAAAGTATATATACAAATGAGAGTTTCTCTGGTACCATCCTATATAATAAAAGGCTAATATTCAAATTGTCCCCTCGACCAGGAGTTTGACCAGGGAGTGGTGCTGGCTGGCCAACCTCCCACATCCCCTCTCCCTAACCGGCCTGGGCTGATTGGCCCCTATCAGGGTGGGCTGGTCAGACCCCACCTGTGCATGAATTCATGCACCAGGTCTCTAGTCTATAAGTAAGAGAGAATGAAAGAATCCACAGCTACAAGTGAAGTAGACTAAATGCCTAGACTAAAATGAAACATGTATTTTTGTAAGATGGTTGTAGAATTTGACGGTCTTGGCAATGTGACCTATGATTTATTTTCTGTGTAATTTAATTAAAGTCAGGTGTTTATTTTATAAAACACTTCACATTGTGGTGTGGTTCAGAAAGAGACTAATAATACTTAGTATTTTTTAATGTGACTACTAGTAATGTGCTTTACATTACCTGGCCACAGTGAATTAATTAACCTTTTTTTTAACTCAGCATAAAAATAGTAGTAATACTTTATATTAAGCATTCAGAAGAGAGACAGTTATAAAGTATAATTGTTATTAAAAGTTTTTTAGGGTACTTCTTTGTGATTTGGGCATTTTTCTTAATAGAGTTAGGGAAATTAGTATACAGTGGCTTACAAAAAGATTCTTAGGCTTTAGTGATAGTACTTTTAAAATATATTACATTTTTAGAGTTATTTTCATATTTCAAAGCTGAAAATGCACATTAACTTTCTGGTTTCAGAGCCCTGTGAAGTGAGGCAGATGATACTACAATTTTATAGATTAGGGAACTTTAGAGATTAAATGAAGTGCTTCATGTTACAGAGGTGGAACTTAGTAAGCAGGTCTTCTGACTGTGAATCTAGGGCATTTTTATTTAAGAGATACACAGAGGAGCCAGGTACATCTGGTGTTGGATTTGTCCTTAAATAACCATATAGTTTTCTTACACAGAAACCAGTTGTCAAAAAAATTGAAATATTACTTTAAAAAATCTTCTATCGATGTTCATGCTTGGGGTCTACATTCATCTCTTTATTCTGTCTGCTTTCCTTTTGCTGGTTATCTTCTCTCCTTCATCTGATCGCATAGATAGGTGAATATTATTTATTTAGTAGAGCACTTGACAAATATTAAACTAGGTATAAGTACTACATTTCTGTTTGCTAGTTATTTCTTTTAGAAATAGTATACACACAGTATTTCTAAGTAGAAAGTGAACTAATTTATATTCTAAATATTTTCTTTAAAAATAGCACAATTGAAAATATAAAAAGTCTTTTTCTCTGTCCTTTCGGTAAGCCTCCTCTGAAGTAAGGCTAACCACTCCTCTCTAATAATCTTCTCAAGTATCACTAATCATCTGGCGGTGCCTTGTGGAGAAGAAGGCATGGAGTGTCTGGAATAAAAGAGCTTCTTTAGGATTTGAGCTGAAAAAGCAATTCCTCTAAAGTACAAAACCTTTTCTTACTGTATTTAAACACTCTCCTCCTCCTCCTCCTCCTCCTCTTCGTTTAAAGTATTACATGAGTCTCCTTTTCCCCCCATTGACCTCTCCCCACCCTTCTTCTTTTGTTCTCCTAATATTGTAGGGTAGATGATGTGCCTCCAGGAATATCTCTGCTTCCTGACAATATTCTGCAGGTTCTGAGGATCCAGCTACTACACTGTGTTCAGAAAATGGAAGATGGGTTGGAGGAACAACAGCAAGCCTTATCAGTTTTGCTTGTCAAATTCTTCATTATTCTTTGCAGGTATCTAGTGCAAATAAACTAGTTATTTGTTTTAAGTAAATATTACCAAAATGGTAATGCATTTATTGATTATCAATGGTGTTTTAGCATATGGAGCATTAAAGAATGAGTGTACCTTTTGCAATAGGCTTGTGGTTTGTTATTATATTGAAAAGCCTTTTTAGTAACTATACCTAGTTATACAAAGATTCAGCCAAGATTAAAAAAATTGCTTTAGAGCAGTGGTTCTCAACCTTTTTAATGCCACGACCCTTTAATACAGTTCCTCATGTTGTGGTGACCCCAATTTCATTGTTACAAATTGAACATAATTAAAGCATAGTGATTAATCACAAAAACAATATGTAATTATATATGTGTTTTCCAATGGTCTTAGGCGACCCCTGTGAAAGGGTCATTCGACCCCCAAAGGGGTCACGACCCACAGGTTGAGAACTGCTGCCTTAGAGTAAAGACAATGACAGTTTTTCCTAACCAAGAGTTTGTTGCACTGGTATTTTCTAAGTGGTTCTCACCTATAGACATATATACATTTTTAGTATTGTGAATTATTTTTGAAATGTATTTTTCTAGTTTCATTTTATAAATGTACCAGGAAAGTATAGTTATTCTATAGCTTATATTTTCCAGGGTTATAGATAATTATGTCTGTGGTATGTCTTAAATTTTGGTATGTCTAAGTATCATCTGGGAAGCTTAATAGAAATATAGAATGTGAGCCTTACTTACAGAAATTCTGATACAGAAGAGCTCAGGCAGGCTGTGTCTCAGTGGTTGAGGGTTGACCTATGAACCGGGGGTTGCGTTTCTCTTCCTAGTTGGGGGACATTTATATCCTGCTATGTTTCTGAATTCATTTATTAAATTTAGTGGTTTTTTAATAGAGTCTTTAGGGTTTTATATGTACAATATCATGTCTTCTGTGAATAATGATAGTTTTACTTCCTCCTTTCCAATTTGGATGCCTTTTATTTCTTCTTATTTGATAGCTCTGGCTAGTACTTCCAGTACTGTGTCAAACAGGAGTGGTAAAAGTGGTAAAAGTAGCCCTAGCCGGGCTGTCTTGTTCCTGGTCTTAAGGGAAATGGTTTTAGTTTTTGCCCAGTGAGTATGAGTTGGCTGTAGGTTTGTCATATAAGGCTTTTATTATGTTGAGGTATGATCCCTCTATTCCCACTTTGCTGAGAGTTTCTATCAAAAAAGGGTATTGGATTTGTTGAATGCTTTTCCTGCATCAGTTGATAAGATCACGTGATTTTTGTCTTACAGTCTGTTAATGTGCTGTATCACATTTATTGATTTATGGATATTGTACCAGCCTTACATCCCTGGAATAAATAAGCATACATTTTTCTCACTATTCATACATAATAAATATATGTTTATTATTTTCTTCTCACAGAAATCTATCTAATGTGGAAGAAATTGGGACTTGTTCTTACATAAATCATGTCATCACTATGACAACACTTTATATCCAGCAAGTAGGTGTGAATTAATATGTTCCTTTTTGTGGCTTTACTGAGAGTAACTAAGTTTTACTTTTTCTGTAGTGTAGTTACTAAAGTTAAATGTTTTCAGAGTACATAATAATTGAGAAGAGAATTAAAATTACTATTGATACAATATATTTCAGGCATCTTATACATATCTAAAAGTACAGATGCAATTATTAATATATTTAAATTTAAATAAGCAAATTATTTTATAAATGGCTTTTTAAAATGACACAACTTGTCATTTTATGTATTATTTATTCATCAAACATCTCTTATTGAGCACATAGGTTTTTTTGAAAAGGTGTTTGGTTATTCATTGGAAAACCTTCCTAGGAAATAAATAAAGCTTGAGAGGTTGCATTCAGTTCATCTGATTAATTGTCTATATTTTTTAGATTCAAATGGAACTTAGACTTATTTGAATAAAAATAATTTATTATTAGATAATGAATGAAACATAGTCCTTTAATGTTACAGGTAAGGATGTTATACAGTTTAATATTTTTAACTAAATATAATTTTATGATTAACTTTATTCTCAGTTAAAAAGCAAAAAGAAAGAGAAGGAATTGGCAGATCAGACATCTATTGAAGAATTTGTAATCCATGCATTGGCATTTTGTGAAAGTTTATATGATCCATATCGGAATTGGAGACATAGAATTTCAGGGTATGTCTTATAAGTCGTAATTTTCATTTGAACCTGAATGTCATAATATGTGCAATTCTTCAAAGCAGATTTTATTCTCTATCAAAGCAATTGGTAAGATGTGTATAAGATGACCCCCCTCTCTGTCTCTGAAGTAGAGACTATATTGGAGGTAATGAATTCATGATAAATGCCACTTCCAGATAATCAGTTTACCCTGAACTTTCATTTTGTGATGCAATTGAGTGCTTATAATCAGATAGGGAAATTTCAGAGCACAGTAGCATTAAGTAGAGAGTACATATTTTTCAAGGAAAGGTCTCTGTTTTTAAAGCATATTTCATAATTTGAAAATGATTTTTAACATTTTGTCTAAGGGGCGGGTGCGGGGTCGAGGGGGTCAATGGGAAAAAGAACAAAGGGGACATCTGTAATACTTTCAACAATAAAGTTAAATTAAAAAGCAGAAACAAAAAAAATAGCAAACCCCACAACATTTTGTCCATTTATTTTTATTAAATGGAGCTTGTGTCAGTCACGGTCTAGTCAGGAAAACAAACCATACTAGTATTTAAAAAGAGAGAACAGCCCTAGCCGGTTTGGCTCAGTGGAACTGAAGGGTCCCAGGTACGAATCTGGTCAAGGGCCCATGCCTGGGTTGTGGGCTTGATCCCCAGTAGGGGGCATGCAGGAGTCAGCCAATCAATGATTCTCTCTCATCATTGATGTTTCTATCTTGCTCTCCCTCTCCCTTCTTCTCTGAAATCAATAAAAATAAAAATATATTTAAAAAAGAAGAATATAGGATGGGCAAAAGTAGGTTTACAGTTGTAAGTGAAACACAGTTTATTCATGTATTGCTATTATATTTTCTACAGGAGCAGCTGTAAATCTACTTTTGCCCCATCCTATATAAATCAAGGAAATTGTTTAATAGATATTAGAGAACTCAAAAAGCATAGGGGGGCACTGATAATACAAACACAGTGACTTCAGGAAGCAACTACTTCCCTGGGGCTGAGGGAACAAAGGGAAGAGATTGGAGTTAATCAGAAACTAGGGGTTTGGAGAGCTTCTGAAGTGCGGCTTGGACCTCTGAGGAAAGAGCATTGCTTAGCCAGTGTGGGTACTGCTGAGCAGCCATAAAGAGGCTAGTTTTGAGATTGCCAAAAATAAGTGGAAGATAGGAACCAACTGCGATGTTGCAATTAAGAACTATTGGCTGGTAAGGAATAAGAAATGAATCCCTTTTTTGCTCTTTAACCTTCTGGGCTCCATTTAGTACTCGCTGTTAGGGAACTCAACAGTGGGGTTTCTTGGAAAAGTGAAATATAGTTTGCAGAGTGCCTGTCCCAGAATCACAAATCAGATAGAATATAGGATGATGGGTTTGGAGTTTAGTGACAATAGTGTAATTACCAGCATAGAGCTCAAAGAAAAGAGTTGGTAAAAGTACATTCTATTTATGTTGGCCTCACAGAAGTCTGTGGAAATATTTCAGCTATCAGAACTACTGGAATTGTCATTAAAAAAAAAACAAAAAACTGATCCCAACCCACACTGGAGCTATATTCTTAAAATGGAAGAAGCCAGTAATGTGGACTCTTTGTGTCCAAATAAAATTTCAAAAAGTTTCATAGAGTAGCCCGATTCCTGATGAATTTTAATGACACTGTCATAATAAACTATCTTAAGTACCAAATTAGCAGTACTGCTGAACAGTTCTTTTACAGATTGGAAATTTTAAATAGCTAGTTCCTTTTTTCATTTCTAGTTTGGAGACTTAACCTAGTAGCTATGTTTAACCATTAAGCATTTTTTAATTTTTGCTCACTTCAAGAGAAGAAATCCTTTCATTGGTGAGCATTTAAGTGATTGACTAGATTTCCTTTTTAAGATTACGTCAGTCCTGGAGATGTATTATTCAGTACACAAATTAAAAGTAAAATATTACATTTATTTTATAGTTATTTTTGTAATCATGCCATCTCTACTTGTTCATGATATAATTTGGTATTAACTTCTTTTTAATGATAGACGAATCCTTAGTACAGTGGAAAAGAGCAGACAGAAATATAAGCCAGCTTCTCTCACTGTAGAGTTCGTCCCCTTCTTTTACCGTAAGTAACTGCTCTAATTTCTCTTACTTTGATTTGATGTTAGTAGCCCTGTGACTTTAGGGAAGATATTAAATTCTGACTTTCCATTTGCTCATTCGTAAATGGGGGCATAATATCATCCTCATATGGAATATTATGAGAATTAAATAAGATGGCAAAAAGTATCTAACATACTACCTGAAAGATCGTTTCTCTTTTCCTTTCCTGTGAAAAAATGCATATCAACCTTGCATTTTATAGATATTAGCCTTTTCACAAATAGTTCTTGATGTTTCATTGTCAGACATTCCCAAGACATAAGTCATATTATAAAAGAAAAATCTTATTTATTTGTTTGTGTATTATATTCACAGAGTGTTTTCAAGAAAGTGAACATCTCAAGGAAAGCCTTAAGTGTTGCTTATTGCATCTCTTTGGAGCCATTATAGCTGGTGGGCAGGTGAGGAAAGTGTTGAATGTTAACATATGAAACAGTGGTTAACCGTGCAAAAAGCTTTCCATGATTATTTAATGTATTCTTTGTCTTATTATAATTTCATGAACCTTACAAATATTTTTCTAAGTTTATATCTTTTTAAAAACTAATCTGCTTCTTTTGTTAACTTCCGAGAAACCTAAGTAATAATATTATCACTAAAATTAAATTAATGCATAACCAGATTTAAGTTTTTGGTATTATAAGTTCTTACTTGTGGTGACTTTTCAGCTGCTAGTTCTTTCTTTAGAGTATGGAGGATAGGCAGCCCTATTAGTCCACTTGATGAAATCAAGCCCTAGCAATTTGATTTCCTAAGACGTGAATTTAGTCACTCTTCTGTTGTCTTATAATTAGTAAATGCATATAAACAAAGTTTAAACAAAGCCTTAAGAAAAAAAGGAAAGGTTTATTTTGTAATGTTTATTTCTTTTTTTTTAAGTTGAACATCTTCAAAGCTGTCTGGTAAACTTTTGAGTATGATTACCAGTTGAAGACAGGATTATAGTTCAGAAAGAACATTCCACATGTTTTCTTTAACCACACAGTTTAGATGAGAGGTTTCTAACACTTTTTGTATCATGTACCCCTTTGGCATTCTGGTAAAGCCCTTTATCAGAATGTTTTCAAATGCCTATAATAAAATACATAAGATCACAAAGGAAACTCATTCTACTGAAATACAGTTACTAAAGTGTTAATAAAACAAATTGGTAACATAGTAATATGTGCTTTATAACACATTAAATAAAAAGATATACCAGCAAGTCTAGTATAATTAATGTAATTTCGGAGAAGAGATGAGAATAAGTGATGTTTTTAAAACACTGCAACAACTATGATATATAAAAATGTGTTTGATTTCTGTTGGTGACAAAATCACAAGTATTACTAATAATATTACTAGGGTTTCCTAGTGGACTGCTTTGCCTTCTCTTCACTCTAGTAGAAGAGGGAGAGTCTCTTTGTAATGAGAAGAATGGTGATCAAAATTGTGTTTTTCAATTTGTTTTCTTTATCACCTACCTTTGTTAGGTGATACCATTTTTTTTTTGCTTTAGTATCTCCACTACTAAGAAGAATTAATAAGTATATGTGAATAAAATTGGAAATGACGTTGTTTTTGACTAATGGAAGAAGCTGGTTTGATCCCATTTCCTTTTTGAACACAGAGACTTATTGTTAGTGTCCAGGGGTAACCAAGCCCCGAGAAACCTCCAGTATTAAAACTAACATGGAAATCAAGTAGATACTAAAAGGCCAATTTATTATTTTATATACTGAAAATACTCAAAATCGTTATAATCAGATTATAGCTGTAATAACTGCTATATTGAAGCCAGAAGGTTATTTATTGACTACAGCATCAGTATAAGGGTATTTAGATGAATCGAATATCTAAAGGCATAAGAATGACCTTGTCATAAAGAACAGAAATATTGAATTCTGATGACTCTTCTCCCTTCCCAAGCATTATGCCTTACTATTGGTATATTTGTTCTATTCTTTGTTATATTAAGAGCAAGGGCTTTGGAGCCAGATACTAAATTCTAACAGCTTAAGTTAGAAGTTTACTTTTTCTTTCATTAAAACAAATAAAACAGCAGTAAGCAGTCCAGAGTTAAGCAGATCCTGGCTCTAGGATCTTCAGGTACTCAGGTTCCTTCTGAAAGTCAGTTTATTTTTTCTTACTATTTCTTATGCTACAAGATAGCTCTAGAACAGTGGTTCTCAACCTTCTAGCCCTTAAAATACAGTTCCTCATGTCGTGACCCAACCATAAAATTATTTTCGTTGCTACTTCATAACTTTAATGTTGCTGCTGTTATGAATCGTAATGTAAATATCTGATATGCAGGATGTACTTAGGTGACTCCTGTGAAAGGGTCGGTCGACCACCAAAGGGGTCGCAACCCACAGGTTGAGAACTGCTGCTCTAGGAGAACTCTAGATGGAGAGGGGGATGAAGACAAATGGCATGTGCCAGCTTTTTTTAAATGCGATACTGAAAAGCTGACACAATGTTTATTTTAATCTCATTTGCTAAACTCCATCAGATAACTGCAAAGAGGGCAAATACATTCAGATAAAAAAATTGATAAAACTTGCTTCCTTAGCAGCAGGGGAGTTTAGGAAATGTAATATTTATTCCAAGAGCAAAGGGTCCTTTCTTTTTATTTGTAAAGTGATATAGTCTACTGACATATCGTTGACTAAAACTGTGTCACGTGGCTGTTCCAAACTACAAGGGAAGGTGGTGAGTTTTCTATGTGGGGAGATTGCTATCTGAGTAAGAATTCTGTTAGGAAATGAAGACATGTAAATCACTGGTAGTGTCTTTCAAAGTATCTGATTAAAAATGTTTTATATTTGATATACTAAAATAAAAAGTTGTCTGAAAACCTGTTAAATTCCTTTTTTTTTGCAAACATAGAAATTCAGTTTTTTGGGTTTCATTTTTGTTTTCTCTCATGTTTCAGAAGAATGCTTTGCAAGCAATTTCTCCAGCCACCATGGAAGTTCTTATGAGAGTTTTGGCGGATTGTGATTCTTGGGAGGACGGAAATCCTGAAGAGGTGGGTAGGAAGGTAGAACTGACTCTGAAGTGCCTTACAGAAGTGGTGCATATCCTTCTCACGAGCAGCTCTGACCAGCGTCAAGTGGAAACCAGCACTCTTTTGGAGAACTATTTCAAATTGCTGAATTCAGATCATTCAGCTTTACCTAATCAAAGGAGGTCCAGAGAGTGGGAAAGCCGGTTTATAGCTCTACAGATAAAAATGTTGAGTAAGTATCACAAGGAGTTTATACCCATTCCTGTTATTTCCTAATTAATTTACTTCTGTTTGTCATCTGAAAAGCCTAAATTTAAAGTATGGCTAGATTAAATGTTTTACGATCCCAAATTTTCTACTTCATAAATGGATGATTTTGTTTTTATTCCCCTAGATACCATCACAGCCATGTTAGATTGCACAGATAGGCCTGTTCTTCAAGCCATTTTTCTTAACAGTAACTGCTTTGAACATCTCATACGACTGCTACAGAATTGCAAGGTATTTTTCTATTATTACTACTCTTGATTTTTAAGAAGTCATTTTATGTTTTGATTCAAATTTGCGCATATTATTTCCATTTATTTATTGTGGTAAAATACATGAAAATGTAATTTTAACCGTTTTTAAGTGTACAGTTCACATCATTAAGTACATTCACACTCACATAGCTGTGCAAAAATCACTACCATCCATTCCCCGTGTTTCTTTTCATCTGGTAAAACTGAAAGTCTATACCTGTTAAACAACTTCACATTTTCCCTTCCACTCAGTAACCACCACTCTACTTTCTGTCTCTGATTTTGACTACCCTTAAGTACCTCATGTAACGGGAATCATACAGTGGTTTTTTTTGTTGTTGTTGTTTGTTTGTTTTGACTTGCTTATTTCATTAGCATAATGTTCTCAAGAGTCATCCATGTTGTGTCATATCTTCCTTTTCAAGGCCAAATATATTTGTGTGTGTGGGTGTGTGTGTGGTACTCCATATTTTGTATTTTTCATTCATTGCTTTGATATTACCTTTTGGCTGTCGTGGATAATATTGCTATGAGTATGAGTATACAGATATCTCTTTGAGACCGTGCTTTTAATTCTTTTGGGTATATATCCAGAAGTGGAATTTAGTCTGTCTCAATAGCACATTGTCTTTTCTGTGAGACATTCTCTGCTGATTCTTTAAGAATTTAGGGATGTTAACTAATTTAATTAATGTTATTTCTTATTTTAGTAACTTTGCGTTCCAAAAGAGAGATAAATAATAATTATAGTATGTGAACTAATGGTTGTTATAAAAAATGAATAGTTGATTGTCATTTTAAAAGTGGTATACTTCACAAGTGGATTCTTGGATTTATTTTCAAGATACGTGGAAATCCATTTAAGCTTCATTTCTGCTTATGGGTTAACAATCCAATGTTCTTTCTCCATTATTCTTGTCTCTGTTTTTAACAGCTGTTTTTAAATGCTAACAATAAGGTGGCAGACAAGAACGAGAAAGACCTGGCCAACAAATTACTGACAGAAATAAATGAGGACCAGGTATCTACAAAGCCTGCATCTTGTTTCAACTGAAGTCCAAAATCAATCAATGGGAGCAACTATTCCTGTACTTTTCTTTCTTTTGTCTTAAAATACACAAACTTTATCTAATTCTAATCTAAATTATTTTTGAAAATTCCTTAAAGTAATTTTTATTTTTAATTTTTTAATCTAAAGATAAGTCTATTCACATCTTGGTAGTTGATATAAATGATCAATAGCATTCCACCTGTGTATGTGTGTGTTCTTATTAGTATGAGGAGATACAAAGTACAGGAATGGAATCCCACTATCAATGCTGTCCACCTGGTGGTGACTTCTTATTTTTGGGGCTTCCTTTTCTAAACATTGTGGTGTATTGGGACTTTAGGGCTTTGTTTGTGAAAATGTATGATCAGTTTTAATATCTTGATTCTTTGCTTCTTGTTGACAAATAATTATTATAATTCAATGGACAGCCTGAATCTTGGAGGAAGGGAAGAAGATGCCGAACTCTTTGAGTCTAAATTTAGAATAAGGCTTAACTTTTTTCTTTTCTAAATATTCAACTCTGTATAAGGTAGAAATATAATAGCTACGTTGCTTTTTATAATACATTAGGTAATTTAGTTTGGTTAGACCACCTACAAAGTTGCTTTATCATTTTCTTTTGCCCAAAAATGTTTGTGAATGAGCTTACATGATGTCATTATCTTAATGTTCAGGTTTATAGAGCTGTGATATAGAGAAGGACATGATAATCTCTCATTTTCTGTTCTGGATGTGCAATATCAATTACAGAGTATTGTTTTAGATTTCTCTGAATTAGTCCCTCTTAAGGCCTTATAGATTAATAAAATAGTATTAATTCTAGTATTTCTAATTTTAGGTACTGTTATGCCTAGTCCTCTTAGACAAAGTCTAGGAAAGATCTTTTTTGTATGAAATTCTGTATGCAGAATGTTTAATGCATATTATGTTTGTTAAATATATAATGTTTAATAAACAAAGAACATCAAGATAGCTTAAATAACTTTCCTGAAAGTGTTAGAGCGTGGCTTTAAACAACAAAGATCAAATCAGTCCCCTTGTACTTAAACCTTTTTTTTAGTGGGAGGGAGAGGAAAATTCTCTTTGTGGAGTGACTAGCTTCAAGTCATAGTAATATATTCCCAAAGACAAATTTTGAGGACTCTTAGATTTTACAGCTTTCTAGTCCTTACGTTATGCTTTTGTGGTGGATGATTAATGTTCAGGTTTTTAAAAAAATATTGTTGAATTTATATTTGTTTTTGGCGTTGTTTTTTTTTTACTATAAATCCACTGATCTGAAATTTAACACATCTCTTTTTTATGATGAAGTTTAAACTGAAATAGGCAAAACAACTTTTGCATTAAAGGTTACCTTCTCAAAACATGACGATGCTTATAGGTATATACTTCATTTTCTGTTCTGCTTCAAATTCTGTATTTTATGTAAAAATAGATACACTTTATTGTTTGCATGTATGATTGATTGGTGCATGCACATATCATTTCAGGATTTGGAAACTAAGTAGACACGACTATTTTAGACATCTCATTATACAAGCTAATGAAATTTAAGTGTAGGAAGTTCATGTGTATTTTTTGGGAAGATTAAAACATAATAGAATTTCTAATGATAGACCTCCCTCCCTTCCTCTTGAGATTGTCCATTTTTAAATAAAAAGCATGTATTAAGCTTGGTGTTTTGTGTTGTTGATCCCCCTCCCCCCCAAAAAAAACACATTTTAAGGTAATGAGTGATTGTAACCCTATCCTTGACACATGGCTTATTTTCTCTCAAGTAGGTAATTTTTCTTGCAGGTTCTATATTGTTTCAGAAATCAATTTTATTGAAAGAGGAATGTATTGCATGTTAAGTAATTATTTTTTCAGGTTTTCAGAGCAAAGGTTTCCTAACTGAACATAAATCTTGACTACATTTATTAATTTCTTGCTTTTTCCCCCTCTGGTAGGCATTTCAGGGACAGTTGGATTGTTTGGCTGTATCAACCATTCAGGCTTTGACAGCAGTAATGAGCAAATCTCCAGCTGCTAAGGTAAAACATATCCCTAAGCTGCAAAATGTTATCTTAGATTTATGAGTTTTCAATATACAATCCCCAAAGTCACATAGGAAAGTGTAATGCATAAAGTTTCATGCCTGAAATGAAATAGTTCACAAAATATCTCATCTTAGTGTAGGAGTTTTTTTTCCCTGATAATTTTCAAGACAGATGCCTGTGATCACTGCTTTGGGATTAAGACATTGATGACTAAACTGCAAAGCTAATAAGGATTTACAGTGTAAGTCAACACATGGGTAGAGAGCACTGGTTTTGAAATGGTGAAATGATTTTTTTAAGTGATTTTATGTAGTGCATTTAAAGAATTAAATCTTATAGTTTTTTTATTAATAAAATAATCACACTTTCACTATTTGGTCATTTCTGACTGATGAGAACATGGACATTTTTCACACGTCAATATCCCTATCAATTCTGGACTTGTTTTTCCATATGGCAATGAAAACTTTGCTTTTTGGTTGTAGTCACTTAGTATTTTCTTTTTCTTCTCATTTGTTTCACTACCATTGACTCTGTCCTGCTGTCCGTCTATACCAGGGGTGGGCAAACTTTTTGACTAGAGGGCCACAATGGGTTCTTAAACTGGACTGGAGGGCTGGAACAAAAGCATGGATGGAGTTTTTGTGTGAACTAATATAAATTCAAAGTAAACATCATTACATAAAAGGGTATGGTCTTTTTTTCCAATAGTTTTATTCATTTCAAACGGGCTGAATCCGGCCCATGGGCCGTAGTTTGCCCACGGCTGGTCTATACTCATTTATTGCTAGTAGTTTCTTCATTGAGTAGTTTTAAAGATAGTGAGATCATCTATATAAAGTGGTAAGCATAGTGTTAGGCACATGGTAAGTTGTTATTACCTTTAGAGGCCCGGTACACGAAAATTCATGCACTCAGGGGGGTCCCTCAACCTGGCCTGCGCCCTCTCGCAGTCCGGGACCCCTTGGGGGATGTCTGACTGATGGTTTAGGCCCACTCCCTGGAGAATTGGGCCTAAGCTGGCAGTCAGACATTCCCCTGGCAGCCTGGGAGCCCTTGGGGGATGTCCACCTGTGGGGAGCGGGCCTAAGCCATTAGTTGGATATCCTTTGTGCTGCTGTGGAGGCAGGAGAGGCTCCCGCCACCGCTGCTGCCCTGGCCAGCCATGAGCCGGCTTCAGGCTGAGTGACGTTCTCCCGGTGGATGTGCACTGACCACCATGGGGTAGCTCCTGAATTGAGCATCTATCCCATGGTGGTCAGTGCGTGTCATAGCAACCCGTCATTCCCAGTTGTTCCACCATTAGGGTCAATTTGCATATTTGCCCTTTTATTATATAGGATATTATATAGGATTTACTTTTTTATCCATCACTTCTAATATGCTTTATGCCTCAATTACCTTTCTAATAACAGAAAGGAATGAATTACTCCTTTTTCCCTGAGCTATGCCTTCAGTTATATTCCACTCTTTGTTGTTTTTTGTTAGGGGACTAACTTTTGCCCTATTTTCTTGATATATATGAATCTTGGTTAGATTTCTGCTGAATAGGCTTTTACAACTGTTACAGGCTGGCTTGGGAATCTAATCTTCATTTATGACAGTTTATGTGAGGAAAAAGATCATTTCAAGTTCTAAGTATTTTGTCGTATGACTATAATGGATTGCTTGTATTTAAAAAATACCTTTTGGGAATATTTTCTACCCTTGAGTCTCCTCCCCAGTTTTACTCATTTAGTTTAAATCTTTTGATATTATAATGAGTATATATATTTCTGCCTATTTTACTGGACCAGTTTAGTGTTGCTAGGTTTTTTTGTGTCTCACTAGTTCATAAATGTGGTTTAGACCTTACTAGAATGAACTCAATGTTCCACTTAATTCAGACCCTTTAGATCAGGGGTGGGGAACCTTTTTTCTGCCAAGGGCTATTTGGATATTTAAAACATCATTCCAGGACCTTACAAAAGTGTCAACTTAAAAATTAGCCTGCCATATTTGGTCAGACATTTAATTAACTTATCCCTAATGCCTTAACAGAGCCAGACCAAATGATTCCATGGGCCTTATATGGCCCGCAGACCAGACATTCTCCACCCATGCTTTAGTTAACAAAGTGTCAAAAGAAAACTACCCAGTTTTTTGTTTTGTTTTGTTTTGTCCACTACTCAAAATTGTCAGGACTCTCTTGTCCTTTGAGGCTGCTATGTGATTCCTGTTACTACCAAATTCTCATTTTTTCTCCCTTTTCGTTTTGACTTAATATAATACTGCCGTAATTATAAATCAAGTGAAGAAAGTGAAGTGTCATGTAACCTAACTTGTAAAATACAATCATTTTATGATACACAACTATTTGCTAATTTTATTTTACATTTTGGTAGATTATTGTAACATTGTATTCCAGAAGGTATATGGAGTTTATTTTAAGATGAAGACATGTGATTTGAGAAAACAGAAATGTTAAACTCATAATTTTTTAAATATTAAATTTCTTAGCTTAAATGGATATTATTCAACATTTTAAAAAATACTCCACCAAATTTGACCTTTGAAAATATGCTTTGATGTATTTATTTTCTCTCCCCTAGGAAGTATTTAAAGAAAGAATTGGTTATGCACATATGTTTGAAGTATTAAAGTCCCTGGGTCAGCCATCACTGGAACTACTTAAAGAACTTATGAATATGGTGAGTTTTTAGCTCTATTAAAAAATTCTGTTATTTCCATATCAAAGACAGTAACTAACCTTTTATCTCTTCTGTTGATTTACAGGCTGTAGAGGGTGACCACACTTCAGTTGGGATTTTGGGCATTAGTAATGTCCAGCCTCTCTTGCTTCTTATCCAGTGGCTTCCTGAGCTAGAATCCCAAGACCTGCAGATCTTCATCTCTGACTGGCTGAAAAGAATTTGTTGTATTAATAGGCAGAGTCGAACTACTTGTGTCAATTCAAACATGGGAATTAGAATCATTGAAACCCTTGATTCCCATTCTTCCCTTCATCGAACTTGTGCTGAGAACCTGATTGCTCTCCATGGTTCCTTGGGGAGTCAGTCAGTGAGCTCAGAAGAAATCCGTCGACTACTAAGATTGCTGAGAGTGGATGAATCTGAATATATACACCCTTATACTACTCCTGTGATTCGAGCAATCCTGACAATGGCCCGAAAACAAAGTCTAGAGAGTGCACTGCAGTATTTCAATTTGTCACATAGTATGGCAGGAATTTCTGTACCTTCCATACAGAAATGGCCAGGGTCTGCCTTTTCTTTCAATGCTTGGTTTTGCTTAGATCAGGATCAGTTGACTCTTGGCAATGCTAACAAAGGAGGAAAAAGGAAACAGTTGTACAGGTACTGGTACAAGTTATGGAATATAAGTGAATGCTGTCATAGGATATATGCTGTGATTCTTAAAAAGCTTTTTCAAGCACCAATTTTTAATATATTTTTAATTTTTATAAAATTTTATTTCTCAGGTAACTTGAATGAAAATGTCAGTCCTTTCCCCCACAGCAGGGTGTGTGTGTGGTGGAGCTCAAAAGCAGAAATGCAGCTCAAGCGTCTAGTTTTAAATATACAAGTTACCTGAAGCTTCTTCATCTTTAGGGCGTATACAGTTTAATTATAGGTGCTTTCAGTTGCTTTCATAATATTAATTGTATATCTTAAATATTTTTCTAGTTAAGTTCTGAGGTTAGTTTGGAAACAAGTTCCATCTTATAAATATTGTAAAAATGGAGAAAAAAGGAGTAATAAATTTGAAATTGAATGGTAATCTCTCTATCCCATTGAAGGTGCTATGTAATTATATGAAGGACCAGAAAACCTTTATGTACTAGTATGTACATCCAAAATTAGTTACTTCAGTAATAATTTTTATATGCCTTTGAATTTTAAGACCTTTATTTATGCTTTCTGAATCTTATTTGGGCAAATTTTTAAGATTTGAAAGCTTACAGCTTTACTACTGTTTACTCATGGGATTCAACCTATAAGACTACCTTTTATAATTTACTCAACTCTTATGCCCCCCAAAAAGACTTAAAAAACATTGTTGAAGCAAGGTTGAGCTGACATGTGATAATAGAATATAAGCCATGACTTGTTTTTTTTGTGTGGTTTTTTTTAAATATATTTTATTGATTTTTTACAGAGAGGAAGGGAGAGAGATAGAGAGTTAGAAACGTCGATCAGCTGCCTCCTGCACATCTCCCATCAGGGATGTGCCCACAACCCAGGTACATGCCCCCAACCGGAATCGAACCTGGGACCTTTCAGTCCGCAGGCCGACGCTCTATCCACTGAGCCAAACCAGTTTTGGCGCCATGACTTGTTTGATAAAGATATTCATCATGATGATGTGGTTTTTTGTGCCTCAGTGATGATAAAACTGAAAACCGATTTAAAAAGTTCTGATAATATATATTTTTGTTAGCTTTTTTACAGGAAGTGGCATGGGTTTTGAAGCCTTTATTACCCATTCAGGTATGTTGGTTGTGGCTGTGTGCACAAAAAGAGAATATGCGACCGTTATGCTTCCTGATCACAGTTTCTGTGATTCTCTCTGGGTAAGGCTTTAGGGCATCACATTTAACTTTTTTTAAAAGAAATCTTTATTGTTGAAAGTATTACATATGTTTCCCTTTTCCCCCATTGACCCCTTCTAGCTGTCCCCATACATTTCACTTCTTGATTTTTTTTCTTTTAAAAAGCACACATTTGGTGCATGTACATCAGGTGTTGTCATCTGCTTTTTTTTGTTAATCCTCTCCCAAGGACATTTTTTCTATTGATTTTTTTGAAGGGAGGGTGGGAGGGAGAGAGCGAGAGAGAGAGAGAAAGATTGATGATGTGAGAAGGACACATTGATCATTTGCCTCCTGCATGTGTCCCAACCGGGGCCAGGGATTGAACCTGCAACCGAGGTACATGCCCTTGACCAGACGAAATCCTTTGATGTGCGGGCCATTGCTCTAACCACTGAGCAACATCAACTAAGGTGTCATCTCCTTTTTGAAAATCAATTAATTTTCACTTTCTATTCATGTTGAAGTTCATCTATAAGGAAGTTAATACTCTTTATCATTATCATTGTAAATTTAGCAGTAGTCATTTTTCTGCTAAGAAAATAAAATGCAATGTTACTTCTTTGATGTGTTCTAGACCTAAATTTGATTTTTGAATTCCAATTTAAAATGACAACATAAATTGTTAAAAACTACATTTCTGTTGCTGCTCTTAAAATATAAAATGCTGCTCATTAGAAAAAATTGATTCTAAAGAATACTCATAGACTTGGAAAATGCAGAAAAGATACTATGTAACTATTCTAGATTTTCTAGAATAGATGTAAGTGCTTTCATAGTACTTCAGGAAAGTTATTTAAGATCATTTTTTAAAAAACATTTTTATTGATTTTAGAGAGGAAGGGAAAGGGAGAGAGAGAGAGAAACCTCAGTGATGAGAGAGAATCATTGACTAGCTGCCTCTTGCATACCCCCTACAGGGATCAAGCCCACAACCCGGGCATGTGCCCTGACAGGTAATCAGACTGACCTCCTGATTCATAGATCAAAGCTCAACCACTGAGCCACACCAGCCGGGCAAAATCATCATTTTAATCAGCATTTAGTCATGCTTAAACTTAATGTTCTGCTCTTCACACAACTAGTTAGAGAGTACTAAATACTCTGAAAACATTGTCATTCAAAAACTTAATGTGATTCTCACCTTTAAATATATGTTTTACTTTACCAGCACAACATAACCATTGTTCACATGCCTGGAAAAAGGCCCTTTGGTCAGAGCCTGGTCTATATCTACGATAATGGCCAGCAGAAGGTCTCTGCCCCTCTCAGATTTCCTGCTATGAATGAAGTAAGCACATCTCACCTACTCTTTATAGGACCAATTGATTGAGAATTCTTGAAAATTTTCAGTTTAATGTGGAAGGTTCTCGCCTTTCCTTCCTTCTAGTTGTAGAGTTTACAGTCAGCCAGGCTTCCTATGGTTCTGGATGAAGTCCGTATTGTTTCTCTGAGGTATTAATCAATTGTTGTGAGCGGCCTTAATTTCCTGGTGTTTATCTCTGCCGCCATCTTAGTTTCTCCTCACCTACTCTTTATAGGACCAATTGATTGAGAATTCTTGAAAATTTTCAGTTTAATGTGGAAGGTTCTCTTTATTCTAAATATGTGCCCATAAAATTTTAATGTTTCTTGTATACCAAGATATAGTAGGTTCATATTTAACTCAGTTAGCCTGTCATCATTAGATGAAGTCAGACAACATGTAATAAAAACAATTCAAGGAAGAAATAAATGTAATTAAAGACTTAGAAAAACAAAGACCACACACAACAGCAAAAGGAAAACCAAAGAAAATGAAGAGAGCAGAGCAAAGGATCCTTTAATAAAGCTCTCCAACTATACGAAATACAAACTGTTATGATGAACTTGTTTCATTTTCCTATGAATTTGAAACAATAATGAGGAAACTTTACATCTTCACATTATAGTTGGAATTTATTTTCTAGGGTGACTCTTAAAGAACATTAGTGCAAAAGTTCTTTGAAAGTATTTGGATAATTTTGAAAGAGCCTTTTCTGAAGGTAATGGTATGGATTAGATTGCTTCCCGAGTCCTAGGATTCTAGTAATTTCTTGTTGCTGTTTATCTCAGTGACCATTTCAGGGTATCCTGTAATTGGCATTATTTTACTGATGTATAATTCTCTGTTTATAAATTTGAAGGGAGAAAAGGAGTTTCCTCTATTTCATAATATAGTAAAGTTGTTAAAAATTTTGTTCATATACACTCATTAAAAATTAAAAATTTACAAAAGGATATAAAGTGAGATTATAAAAGTAATGCATCCAAATCAAATAGGTCTAAGGTAACATCTGTAATATTCTCTTAATGTGTACACATGCATACACATATATGATCCGACAGATGTATTTATTTGCTTTATTTTATGTACTGTTTCATTTTAAATATGAGGATAGAAATTTAATTAAAAGAGTGTAATTTGTTTTGTTTCCTAATTTTTAGCCTTTTATTTCTTGCTGCATTGGTTCAGCTGGGCAAAGAACCACCACTCCTCCACCATCCCAAATCCCAGATCCACCTTTTTCTTCTCCCATTACCCCTCATCGGACATCATTTGGTGGAATTCTGTCATCAGCCTCCTGGGGAGGAACAATTGAAAAATCAAAATTGATGACCAAATTGATATCTGCGGGAACCCAGGACAGTGAATGGGGATGTCCCACATCTCTGGAGGGTCAGCTAGGGTCTGTTATCATCTTCTATGAAGCCATACAGCCTCCTCAGGTGAAGGCATTATATTTAGCAGGTGCGTATATTAACATTCATACTGTTTAATTCAGCGGCTCTCAACCTGTGGGTCGCGACCCCTTCGGGGATCGAACGACCCTTTCACTGGGGTCGCCTAAGACCATCGGAAAACACATATAATTATAATTACATATTTTTGTGATTAATCACTATGCTTTAATTATGTTCAATTTGTAACAATGAAAATACATCCTGCATATCAGATATTTACATTACGATTCATAACAGTAGCAAAATTACAGTTATGAAGTAGCAACAAAAATAATTTTATGGTTTGGGGATCACCACAACATGAGGAACTGTATTAAAGGGTAGCAGCATTAGGAAGGTTGAGAACCACTGGTTTAATTAAACTTAGTTTTTTTCTGTTGCCTAAATATGAAAGGTATATTTGTTTTAATTGAAGCTTAAAGGGAAGGGGGAAAAAACCTCCCACACACCAAACTCCCCCCCCCTTGGCATTATTCAGATGATATTGACATATAATATACATACATTTAAGGTATACAATGTGATGAGTTAATACACATATATATTGTAAAATGATTGCTGTGGTAGTTAACACCTCCATCCACTCTCAGAATTACAATTTTTCATATGTGTTAATAATATTTAAGCCCTTATCCGGCTTGGCTCAGTGGATCGAGCATCGGCCTGCGGACTGGAGGGTCCCAGGTTTGATTCCGGCCAAGGGCACATGCCTGGGTTGCAGGCTCGATCCCCAATAGGGGATGTGTGCAGGAGACAGCCAATCAATGATTCTCTCTCATCATTGATGTTTCTATCTCTCCTTCTCCCTTCCTCTCTGAAATCAATAAAGAAATGTATTTAATAATAATAATAATATTTAAGATCTTTCTTAACTTTCAAGTATATTACATAGCATTCTTATTTTAATAATTGCATTATAGTTATTTTCAAAATTATAGCTGTATTTTAGTAGATTGTTCAGGAGTTAAGCCTTAAGTAGCCATGTATATTAACTCTGCAGAACAACTTATTAGTGTCAAAATTTCTTTTATAGATTACATGGGAGATTTGAGATGAATGAAAATGTCCAAACTTTCAAAGTTTTTATTACTTTAAAACTCACCAAAGTATTTGAAGTTGAACATTATAATCCATGTAAATTCCAAATTAATAATAAATCATTTAGTGCAATTATCACAGCTCTATAGTTTTGATTTTATTCTTACAATTTTTCCTACTTATAATTCTGCTCTTGTAAATAATAAGTATTTGTAACATAGTGTTCATAATGATTGTTCTTAATTGTTGCATATTATATTGGATTCACAATGCATGATTTACTTAGGCTGTTTATAATTTTTAATATTGATATAAACATAACTATTCAATATTATAGGCTTGGTGCACAAAATTTGTGCATGGGCGGGGGTGGGGGGGTCCCTCAGCCCAGCCTACCCCCTCTCTGGGACCGCTGGCTCCTAACAGCTCACCTGCCTGCATGCCTGATCACCCCTAACCATTCTGCCTGCCTGCCTGATTGCCCCTAACCCCTCTGCCTGCCTCTCTGATCTCGCCAACCACCTCTGCCTGCCTGCCTGATCACCCTTAGCTGCTCTCCTGCTGGCCTGATCACCCCCAGCTCCTCTCCCCTGCCGGCCTGATCGACCCTAACTGCTCTCCCCTGCCGGCCTTGTTGCCCCCAACTGCCCTCCCCTGCTGGCCTGATCTCGCCCCCAACTGCCCTCCCCTGTAGGCCTGATCACCCCTAATGGCCTCTGCCTTGGCCCCCACCACCATGGCTTTGTCCAGAAGGAAGTCGGAAGTCCAGAAGATGGCCGGTCGCCAAACCAGTTACTAAAAAATTGAACCGCTTTCTTATACCTTACACCAAACAGCTATTGCCCTTAAAACCCCTCCTCGGCCCCCACCTTAGGTCCTGCGTTTGCAGTTCACCCAGATTAGGTTCTGATTGGTCAGTTTCTATGCCAGTCAGTGTCAAAAGCTCTGTCTCCTAAGCAGCCATTGGCTCCTCATAGTTCACCCAAATTTGATTCTGATTGGTCAGTTTCTACACCAGTCAGCATCAAAAGCTCTGCCTCCTAGGCAGCCATTGGCTCTTCTGGGAAATCCATAATGGCCCTTCTGACAGCTGTCTCTCTCCGGGTTTATCTTCGGGCCTGATCCGCAGCCTCCACAGCAGCTTCTAATCAGATCCTGCCTATCTCTCTGGGCCTCATCCATAGCCGCTGCTGCAGCGGTGAGGTCCTTAGGCCTCCGGCCCAGCCCAGGCCAGAGACTAACGACCTTTCCGTGCCTGCCTCGCCCCCCTTCCCCCTGCCGCCCCTCCTGCTCACCACCAGCCTTGTGGGTCTCGGGGAGGGACCGAGAGGTGCTCCATGCACTTCCTGGTGACCGGTCATCCCTCTGGTTGTTAGGTCGTGACAGCCCTAGGCTTTCATTAGTGTAGATGATGAACTGTTGTACTTACTGTTTTTTGTTATTTTGACAGATATCCTTATGATAAAATTGCAGGATAAATATTCAGAGTGTGCATATTATTATGGTTCTCAATGCATATCACCCAATCAGCTTGCAAAAGGGATATACAGTCCTTACCAGTAATGCATGAGTATACCAAATTCATCACAGCCTCAATACTGTTTCCTCCATTTTTTAATGTAAAATGGAACCAGTTTTAATTGTATTTCTTTGATTTGATTTTTTATTAGTAAAGAGTTTTGTCCTGCTCATTTGTTACTCCATTTCTATGATATCTATTCAGATATATTAAAAGTGATATAAAAATAAAGTACATTTTGGCTAGTGTGTTTTAACTGTGTTATATGAGTAGCTAGAAACAGCTCAATTTAAAATTTTGTTCTGATTACGCAGAACTGAAGAGGCCAAATCTATTCAATGATATGTGTGTGTGTTTGTGTGTATAAATAATTTTTAGGTCCAAACTGTTTAAACCCTTGGAAATTTCAAGAGTCTGACATGGCGGACCTGTCTGGTAATGTCCTCCTTCATTATACTGCAAAGGTCAGAGTAAATTCATGGATTGTTTATCTAGTTGTAACTAACTATGCTATCTATGAACTAGAATTTGTTTTTATATTTCTTTTGTCATTTCAGTGGGTAATTGAGAAGGGGCTTGAATTGCCATTAAAAATTATTAATTTTCAAAGGAAGATGAGAAGCATTAAAAATAAAGGTGCACCTCTCATCTACAGTTTAAATGTGATCATTAGTCATCCCAATAATATGAATAGGAATAGCTATAATGGGAATTTGTACAAATGAATCAACTTCAGTAAATGAAACTGTTTAAATTTCCCCCCCTACTTTTTAGGAAGGAGCAAGAAAACAGAATTGCTCAGCATTTGCTTTGTTAATTTTTAAAATAGGATGTTAGAAAACAAAAACAAAAAAGGAATGTTTACTTAGCATGGAGAAAAAAGCAACCTCCTATAAGCATACCATTCTTAGTAATTTTTCCCTTGGACAAAAGGTCAGCAAGGACCAAGTGAAAGAGATCAAAGGTAGAACTGGGAGAAAGAAAGGGGAGAAGTTGCAAAAACAAACTATCAGTTGCCCTCATTATATTCAATGTTACATTGACCAAGAAAATGCTTTTGCTGTGTGAGATTATACATTATAGAACTTTTTCCTAGTTTAGTCTTCTAGTTTAGTTTAGTCTTCTGGCCATAATTTATTACTTTGAATACTCATTTGTTATATCTAGCCTAATAAAATTTACTTATCAGTTGGAATTTCCCCCTAACTTTTTATTTTGATTAATTTCAAACCTAGAGAGAATTTGAAAGAATTTGAGAGAATTTGTAAGGTGAAGTCTTATATACTCTTCACCTAAATTTCCCAATTATCAATTTTTAAAAAGGCAAAAAAGTCTTCTTGCATATATTGGTTTAAAAGAGAAAGAAATGTAAAACTATGTGGTTGGTGAGTGGTAAGTTCTAGCCTTAGCTCATCTGTCAGATGACAAGCAGCAGTGACCTGCATTTGATGAGTACTTTAGAATCTAGTCCCTGATTCTTTTAAGAAACAATCAGAGACTAATAATACTAAACTTAATATTGTAGGCATCTTAGGACTATGCTATATACCTTTTAAAGTTATGGTGAAATGTTCCATCTATAGTTAAAGTTATGTTTTGTCTTTGTTGTGCTTAGCTGTTTGCCATGTTATTTATTTATTTATTTATTTATTTTTAGGCCTGCAAAAATTCAATCTGTCTTGATTTATCTACTAATTGTTTGCATGGAAGGTTAACAGGAAACAAAGTAGTAAACTGGGACATTAAGGTAAGTTAATGATAAATTGTAGGCAACATTTTTGTAAGTTTACTGATTCTTTAGAAGGGTTTATGTTTTAAGGGTTAATAGATTTATTTGAATAATAAGTCACTGTTAAAATGTTTACAGGATGAACAAATAAGTAATTGAATGACTGATTTGCTTGAAATTTAGGTTTTAAACTATGCTGTCAGCTTAACAATTTTCATGATAAAAATATACTATCTCATTAATTAATTAATTGCTCCACTTGTTAAGGTATTTAATACCTAAAACTATGTGGCAGATTTCAACCCTTCTGGTCACTTTAACACCAATTGAATATGCTTATTCTTGCAGTGGAACAAATCATTAGGATAATTTCTCCTGTCTAAAAATAAATCCATCAGTTAGTATTAATCCTCATGTTATTTCTGTGGTATAAATAAATAAATATTTATTTATTTATTTCAGAGAGGAAGGAAGAAGGAGAGAGAGATAAAAACATCAGTGATGAGAGTACCATTTTTTTTTAATTTAAATCTTCCTACTGGGGATCAAACCCACAACCCGGCCATGTGCCCTGACCGGGAATCGAACCATGACCTGGTTCATAGGTGGGATGATGCCCAACTAACTGAGCCACACTAGCCAGGGCCCCAGAAAGGTTTTTAAGTGTAAATGTTCAGTATGAGCTAACATTCTATCTACAGAAATCTGGATAAAACAGACACTAAAAAATTATAGCAGGAAACAAACTATAACAGGGAATTTGTCTTAAAATCTAATATTTAAATATATATTTAAGCAATTAATTAACCTGTTTCATATTTATGCTTAACTCCCTGCCCCTTTCCCCGACAACCCTAAAAAGCACTCTATATGTGTGGGGAAAGCCTGAGCTGAAAAGAAGCATGGCCATATCATTTAGATTCCTGCACTCAGAAGCAGCAGAGCCATTTAGGTCATGAGACTATGATTCTCTATTGGTAACCTGGCCTAACTACTTTAATACCTAGTGGTACTAATTACCAAACAGCCCCTTGGTAACTGACGTTAAACCCAAACCTATTGGTGGGAAGACAGTCACATTATTTTTCTCTTTTATATTTCCTATAAGAGAAAAAATTCCTAGCTTTTACTTTTTAAAAGTCATACACTGATAACACTCATGAATAATCACAAGTTTTTCACTGTTTCTTCAATGGTTTTAATCCTATTAAAACACTACATTCTTATTTTCTCCTATAAAAAGCTTTTTCCGTCTTTTAGTTGTATTTTTGAAGTGGTTGTTCGAGGAAGCAAACTCCGGCGTTAACCTATGCCGCCATCTTTGAGAGTACCATTGATTGGCTGCCTCCACTACCCTACTGGGGATCAAACCCACAACCCGGCCATGTGACCTGACCGGGAATCGAACCATGACCTGGTTCATAGGTCAACGCTCAATCACTGAGCCACACCAACTGGGCTATAAATCTTTTTTCTCTTTGATTTTAAGAACAGATATCAGCATAGTAAGATTTATGATATGCTTACCAATTTGTAAGTTAACTTTGGCTGTCACTTGTAAGATTGGTTTTACAAGGCTTGTAAATATGAAGAGGTTGTATACAAAGTTTAGCTGGGTCTACATGGCAGTTTAGTGTTGTGCCCAGATTTCAAGATTCCCAAGAGCCCACCAGGGAGCCAGCGAGCCCGATGCAAAAGCAAAGAGTCATTTATTTCAAACCTAGGTTTGGCTCC